GTACTAAACAGCTGCATTTTCTAATATGATCCCTGCATTCTGTTGTTGTTCTACCTAAGATGCATATATTTAATTAAAGTAAAAAGACAGTTTACAAGCTTTGTGTTACATATTTTAATTCATGAATATAAAATAGATTGAGGATTCCTAAAAAGGGAAAGGAAGCAAGACGGATATCTTGATTTATTTAACCATTTAGCATTTATTATTTATTTACCTCCTTTCAGAATGTTTACTATCCTCCCAAAGTAGTTTGGAGGCATTGTTTGTTTATTTATTTGTTAATCTACCCATCATATATGAGTGCCCTCTCATGAAAATGTAACTCTGTGAAGTGTACTCTAAAACTATGAACAAGTTAACATATAAGAACTATTATTCAAAAAATTAAAAACCAGGAAATAGGCATCAGATAAAGCTTCCAATACTCTTTACAGGAAGTTCCATGTAGAGCCCATGACTGTAACCAGTTGAGCGTGATTGGCATAGGTAACTGTGAATACAGCCCATCAATGTAGGAATGGGTGCAACTGGCACAGTACGCAGTGCAGAGGCTCTCCTAGCCATGACCCCAACGAGCTCTTTGGCCAGGAGTTGTGAATCCACAAAGACTGGATCTGAGTTGCTAAAATGTGGGCTACCACCTATAAAATAATGCAGAAAATGTTCTTTGCTCCCATTTAATGATTGTTTGCAGACTAGATGTGGCAGGTCTAAATAAATCTAAACAAACAGAAAAATGCTAGCCAGAAGTATCCGAAGGTAAAGTCTACCTGACTAAAATTATGTGGTGGTTGACATGCTCCTTCCTCCATTTCTGTTAAGGAATTCTTATGAGGTGATTGGTGGCAGCTGTGCTGAGGGGAAAGGAGAACAAATTATCGAGCTAAGTGGACTACTGAGTGACTGATTTTTAGTTATAAGACTCATGTCTTATTTTGTTGGATAGCATGATATAAATGTATCATTTAAAATAATTAAATTTTAGCAGCCTATTTCTACAGTTATGCATGATTTAAAATTTTGCATGTGCTTTAAAATGAAAGGTGATCTTAACATTCCTAACCGTTTGTTAGAATATATATTAATGGAAGAATCCTTGTGTCTTATTTTAAGACTTTTAAAATCAATTTATCACCTTAAGGCTAACATAAATAAAAACACACATGTCAGTTGTGAAAAGTCGAACATCAAACATCTGTATAATTTGGTAATCCAAGACAACTTGCCTTACAGCATTACTTGACAATTATCATTTCTGTTCAATTTTCAAATCAGTACATGCTTTGGGACTTACGTACTAAGTTGCTAAGTAGCAACATATGGCTCACTACTGTTCTTGTGATGTTGCTGCGAGGGAAGATTGTAATACTAGACTTGAAATGATTTCCACAGACAGCCATTCTTGGAAATAAGCCAGAAGTATAACTGTACCATTAAAATTAATATTGTTTTAGCTTGTCCCAAAAGACTGGTGTTCCTGGGCTGGTGTATATTTTATATATGTAAACATTATATTCCTAGCAACAATTACATAGAACTATAGATAGCTTTTACAATTATTTTACTAATGTTCATATATACATTTACCAAACAAAATATAGTAATTTTATTAATAGTTAAACTTTTAGCATAGGAGAAGTAAACTTTTACATAGGAGAGATTTCTTTATCATCTCCTTGTTGCAATTTTCTATTGTCATCTATAAGAACTTCCTGGCAATATTATCCATATATTAATATAACAAAGAAACTTGGGACTAAGCAATTTTTTCTAATGCGGAACACTCTTCAGAGTTAACTTGCAAACTCAAGCCAGGGGAAAACATTATTTTAATATAGTCTTTCATACTGATGTCCTCTAAATGTGTTAATCTTCTCCCAGGACTAGGATGCTTGGCCATTTTGGTGGAATGGATTCAATATATCTGGAAAACATCTGATTAGGGAATAATGAGCACGTTAGAAATATT